GACGAGGCACTCATTAGGAGAAGATGGCAGACATACTTCCATAAACTGTTGAATGAGGAGGGGATAAACGCATTGTGCTGGGTGAGTTGGAGAACTCCGAGAGTCGGCGGGATTTTGGGTACTGTAGGCGGATTACGGTAGAGGAGGTGGAAGGGGTGATGCGTAAGATGTGCAGGGGCAGAGCGACGGAGCCAGACGAAATCTCGGTGGAATTCTGGAAGAGCGCGGGGCGGGCAGGTTTGGAGTGGCTCACTGAGTTGTTTAATGTTATTTTTAAGACAAAGAAGATGCCTGAAGAAGGGAGGTGGAGTACAATGGTTCCGCTTTATAAAAAACAAGGGTGATATCCAAAATTGCAACAATTATAGGGGTATCAAGTTATTGAGTCACACTATGAAGGTTTGGGAGAAGGTGGTGGAGGCCAGGGTGAGGAGATGTGTGTCTATTTCCGAGAATCAGTTTGGATTCATGCCGGGGCGATCGACTACGGAAGCGATTCATCTGGTAAGGAGATTAGTGGAGCAGTACAGGAAGAGGAAGAAGGATCTCCATATGGTGTTTATTGACCTTGAGAAGGCATACGATAAAGTTCCGAGAGAGGTCCTTTGGAGGTGTTTGGAGGTTAGGGCGTTCCGGTAGCGTACATTAGGGTGATTAAAGATATGTATGATGATGCTAAGACTCGGGTGAGGACTGTGGGTGGTGACTCGGAGCATCTCCCTGTGGTGATGGGGTTGCACCAGTAATCGGCTCTTAGCCCATTTTTATTTGCCTTGGAGATGGATGTACTGTCGCGTCATATCCAAGGGAGGTGCCTTGGTGCATGTTGTTTGTCGATGATATAGTGTTGATTGACGAGACGCGTAGCGGGGTTAACGCGAGGTTGGAGATTTGGAGACAGACCTTGGAGTCTAAAGGTTTCAAACTGAGTAGAACCAAGACAGAATACTTGGAGTGCAAATCCAGTGACGGGACCCATGATGCAGACGTAGAGGTTAAGCTTGATGGTCAAGTTATCCCCAAGAGAGCGAGTTTTAAGTATCTCGGGTCTATTATCGCATCGAAGCGAGATGGATGAAGTGGAGGCTCGCTTCCGGTGTTTTGTGTGATAGGAATGTGCCGCTAAGACTTAAGGGTAAGTTTTATCGAGTGGTGGTTCGACCGGCTATGTTGTATGGGGCTGAGTGTAGGCCAGTCAAGAACTCCCACGNAGCAGCAGTTTCTCTTCCATGACAGGATTGAACTACTGAATGATTTTTCATCAGCTCCTGATCCCAATCCTTCATCCATCCATGGAAAACATTTCGCGTATATGAGCTAACAAAAGAAAGAAGCAGCACCATTGTCAACCAGTCAACACCAAACCATCAATGTAGTAAAGTCATTTGATGGGAGTAGGCTTGACATACTCCATATGACACTGTAGGAAGGCATGAAGGATTGGGAAATGGAAGAGTACAGAAAATTGCACGAAAATGAATGGCATTATGCAAAGAAAAAACAAAATTCACTGGACGCTACCTGAATATCTCCATGCAGCTTCCAAGAACAAGACATATTGCCAACAATGGAAGTACATTCTAGAGCCACTTTCGACGCTTCCTGAAATTAAGCAAATCGCTTGAAAAAATCTCAACCAAAAGAAGAAGGGAGAAGGAATAGAATAAGTATGTCCTTCTGCACCATAATACTACAGAAGCAGGTGAAACTTCAAAATTACTGGATCACTAACCTCTAAGAGTGAAGCTCCCCATTTAAAGGCACCAGAATCAATAGATTCCTTTGCCAAACTAAGGAGTGCAGAGGCAAGCCCATGATGCGCGGACAAATTCAGAGGTGAGATCAGTAAAGCTTGCCGGAACTGCTCTATTCCCTTCATTCAGGATGGAAGAGTAAAGAAAGAAACATTAAAAGAATCCGAATATCTTTTATAGGTATGATCGCGCTGAATTATCCTGAGATCTTTTATGCTACTCACTGTAACTCATTGAGGCTGAGCCTAAATAAGGCTTATGCAAGTACTCGCTCATATAAGCTCATAGACATATAGCCTTACTCTAACAGAAGTTTTCTTTTTTTGTTTTTCTTTTAGTGGGAGAGTTTTTCTTTTTTTTTTTAATAAGTAAAAAAAAAAAACCTTTATGTCTATCCTTATTCCTTACATGACTTTCATTGGAAGAATAATACGTGCTACGATATTTCCAAGAGACACAATGCAGACAACCTGATAATTTGCGTTCAGGCAACAGTCTACTAAACCAGCCCATGTTTAGGAGTACCAATCCAAACCCACAATTAAATTACATACATCAAGCTTGTTAATAATTGCATAAAATGGAGCATGGTCCAGACGCAAGGAGAAATGTTACCTTCCGAAACGAACCAAGCATCAAATGGACATTTCCACTTTCCACCAATGCAAATACTCTTGATTCCTCCAATTCAATAGCTCTTGCATAGGACTGTTATAATGAGAAGACAAGATTGAGCAACAAGTAACAGACATCAAAGGGATGTACTATCATTGTGACACAACGCAATAAACTATTCAAACATCTTATTCCATTCAACTATTTTTAATACATATACATCTATGGATCTACAATCCAAACCTTTGAAACAGTAAACTATAAACAAAGTGTAATATTAGCATATTTACAGATGTCTATATCCTTTATGGCATGCCATCCTTCTTTATTGGGAGATAACTTCTCTAACTGCCCCCCTTGTGAACTAAAACAAAGGTAATTACCTTAACAGCGGCTGTAAACATGCCCATTTGCTGGTAGGAAAGACCCAGAGCCTGGATAAGTGCAAGATGGACAAAGACACTGAGAGACATGACGGAATAAACTACACAGCAACTAAAACGATCGCATGAGAAACAAAAGAGGAAAATAACCTCCCACAAATCAGCACATGTTGGATAGCCTCTAATGGCTTGCTGAAGACTCTGCACTGCTTCGGACCACTTCTTTTGGTTGACCTAACCAAGGGTGGGGGAATTGTTTCAGGGAACCGAACCCTATAATGTACAAGTAGAAGTAGAAGATTAGGATGAGGAACAATAACCAAAAGGAAACCCAATCTGCATAAAGCCCAAAAGGCCCTGGGTGACTTCTCTGAAGCTTCGCGGCATACAGCTATCTCCAAGCTCTCTTTTCCACTTCCGTCCAGTATATCACATATTGCTTCCTGATAGAGAGAGGAAGAAAAATCAATGTGATTCTGTTGTGAGTAAGAAAATGTAATTTAGCAAAGAATATGCGGCAAACCCCAGCAATTGAATCATCGGGATTAAGGTTGACGGCTCTCTGATAACACTTGACAGCCCTCTGAGAGTCGACAGCCACTCGAGCATAGTAGTGTCCCAAATATCTGAAAGCAGCACCATTTTGTGGGTTGAGCTTCGCCGCTATGAGAAAATGTTGAGCGGCTTTTTCCTGAATGTCTCCTCCCTTATCCCATAACAAGACCCCGAGATCAAAGTGGAGCGAAGGATCGTCCACAACTGCTTCTTCTAACCGTCTTATAGCATCGTCTTCTTCACTCTGACAGTTAAAAGCTTAAAGACAGGTTCAGTCACTGACGTCGTTAAAAAAAGCAAAAGATATGAAAGGGTTGAAAGGAAGAACCATTTTCAGGGCACTCGAAGCTCCGTGATTACTGAACGAAACCCTCGATGAGGAGACGACGCTTTGCCGGCACTACAGCTTCCAATTATTAGTAGTCTCACCGCCACGAGGCAACCTCCGGTTATGTGCTCTTATACAATCCAGCTCTAATATTTCATTTCTTTTTTCTCCCCCTGTTTATTTCCTTTTCTTTACTTTCCCCTTCTTTCTTTTGTAAGAGGGGAATAGACAAAGACGCACTTCAGTTCAGGTTGCACGGGATTGTGTTCCTCATAATTTAACTTCATGAAATATCAAGAAGATACTGAATCTGTTCAAAATTTATATTTTAAACCCGTTGGTGTATGGGTCAAAATCTAAGAACCCGGCACGAGGAAAAATTACTAAGAGGCGATTAGATTGGGGTCGAATAAATAATTAAAGGAATTCACCGCCGAGCTGTTGGTTATGGCCGAGGTCGAATGCTTAAGTCAATAGTAACGGCTATTTTTATAATAAGATATTTTAAAGAATATTCCGTTGAATATTTTCTGTGTTTGTACTTTAGGTCAGATTAAGGGTATGTCTCGTATAAATAGAAAGTTAGAGAGAAGGTGAAGGGCATGTAATATTCTATATGATAAAGAACTCTCTTGAAAAGTTGACTCTCTAGTAAAATACAAACATTTGTCTTTCCAAAGAGATTCGATTTGTTGTTTATTATACATTTCTCACATCATATCCGAGAAAGTGTCCAATATTCTCTTAGTCATTTGTCTTACATCATTGCCATCATCCATCTCATTTAATATTGGATGAATCATTCTCTCTATTTACATTTAGTGTCATTTATTGTATTTATTGCTTATTATTGTTCTCATCCCATTAACAACCATAACATTTAATGTGTATTGCATTAAATCCGTTTTTATGTGGTCCCATGTTATCCGCACAAACCCATTTTAGATCCAAGGCTATTACCTTTAAATAGGATTAGCCCCCTAATCTTTTATTTAATTAGTTTAACAAATAGTGTACTTTTTGGTCAAACAATTTGGCGTCGTATGTGAGAATTTTCTAGTTAAAATTTTAGTTTCCTCTAGATCTAAAAAACGCAAAAACATCATATTTCCTTGCACACACAAATCTAACATGGCACGTAATGGAGAGGAAAAGAGAAAAGCAATAGTCGACCTCACCACCAATCTCCTTAACACCATCAACGAAGTCGATGAAACGGAGGATGAGGAGGTAACTCCAAATACCTCTCATAAGCGAAACAGCTCGCCCCCTCCTTATGGCAGCGTTATAGCATCCAGCGGTAAAGAAGCCTCCACATCCAAAGTTGAAGAGGCACCACTAGCGGTGAAAAAGCTACTCGAGGCCTACGTTGACCAGCATCTTCGACAAACTGACCTATAAAGCAACCGGAGTGCGCGCGAGGACCTGCGCTGAGCCAACAGCAATCGAACAGCACGACCTCCTTCCACTCACAGCAGGTACTACTCACAATGTTAATGATGCAGGTAACAATGCCCTTACAGTCATCCTAAGGAAAATGGAAGAGATGGAAAACAAAAACAAAATGCTCCGAGACCAGATGAAAGAACATCAAGAACGGGTGGACAAAATACCGGGGGCCCCAAATCTCTTACCAAAAAGGGACGTCGGTCGGTTTGTTGAGCCGCATTGCATGCAATACCCAAAACTTTCAAAATGTCGTCGTACCTGAAGATACATGACAGTACGAAGGACCCTGAGGATCATGTGACCCACTACGTCACTGCTATCAATGGCAACGACCTCGCCAAGGAGCAAGTACCCTCCATCTTATTGAAAAAGTTTGGCAAAACCCTCACCGGGAGCGCGCTAACATGGTATTCACAGTTGCCTGCATACTCGATTGAAACATTCGAGGAAATGGTTGACAAGTTCGTAACAGACCATGTCGGAGCAAAAAAGACGGAGGCAGGAGTGAATGACATATTCGCCATCAAACAATCACCTAGAGAGGGATTAGCCTATTTTATGCTCCTTTTTGCTTAGGTTTTGGATTAAAAGTGTGTGCAAGTATTCCCGAAAGCTAACTTATTGTGCTTGTCTGTAGTGTTTGGTCAAAAAGAGACAAGAAAATCATAACCAGCTCATAAAGGAGTGAAACCTGCACAAGTTCAAAGCTGAGTCAAAAGGGCGCTGACAGCGAAGAAATAGAAGCGGACGTGGAAGTTTCACCGCTGAGGCGGTCTTAACTACGCTCTCAATGGTAGCAAGGTTCAGAGAGTCATTTATTGGGCTTAACAGTCACCGTTGCCCGCGATGAAATTGCGCGGCAGCGATACCATCTGATGCGATCGCTGTCTAATTCTCGCCCTCAGTGGAATTAAGAATCAGAGAACTAAGTTTAGAGCTCAAATTGAAAATCGCGGTCCACGTACATATTTCGCGGCCGCGGTTGAAGGAGCGCTGAGGCGGTTGATTTTCCATTCCCAGCGAACTCAAAGTTCAGACCAAGTTTAGAAGAGAAGAATCGCGGTCCGCGCTTGCTTTTGTGCGGCCGTGAAAGTCCAAGCACTGAGACAACCCATTTTCCGCTGTCAGCGGAATCTCCGTAGGGGCAATTTTGTCTAGAAAATTTAGTTGTGTCTAAATAGTTATTTTTCAGATTTTTAGGGCATTTGTTATTTTGTGGAGCACGTGAACAACCTCTTTTTTCTTTTTAGAGTAATTTTAGAACATCTTTAACAATTAATCTTAGATTTTACTCTTGTAATTACTCTTTATGGCTTATATTTTATCTCCATCTTTGATTTCTTCTTTGATTATGAATAGCTAAACCTATTAGCTAGGGTTGTGACCCAACCATAGTGTGCGTATTTAATGGGTCTTCAACTTTAGGGCTTAAATGTTTATGAGTCAATGATATTTAACTTGATTCATGCTTTAATTGTTGAATTGGTGGTTGCAAACACTAATTTGTGCCTTTTTGACTTAGGCTCTTCTTGAGAAAGAGAGACTAAGTCTAGGTAATTCAGGCTAACAAGGAATTGGAGTACATTCAAGAGATTGATAGCCCTAATTAAAGGATTAAACCTAGAGATAGTAATAATCGACTTGAGTCAATTTGCTTGCATTGTTTAAACACCCAATTGGGCTTGAGAAAGCCAATTAAGGCAAAGTCACTCAAACTACCGAGAGGTATAGAGTGAGTAATTATGTGCGATGGTTATATCATGATCCCAATTACAATAAGTTTGCCCTAAGTTTTAGACCCCGTTAGATACTCACCTAGGTGTAAGTCACTTTCCTAGTGCCTTTTTACTAATTGAGAAAACCCTTACAAAAATATCATACTTAGCTTATTTTCATTCTTAATTAGTGTTAAAAGTATAATAATAACCAAAAAAAAAATTGGAAGTGCAATTAAGAACATCGCACATAGCTAGATTGGATAGAAACCCAATTCCAAACTAATTTTAGCTCTTTGTGGATTCGATCCCGACCTTTCGGGTAAAAGCTGCATCGACCACTCTTGTCATTCTATAGTGGTACAGAGTTGGAGCTGATCACTTTTTAGCATCGTTGCCGGGAGCTAAACGATTTTGGCTATCTATCTAACTACTTTTGTGTCTTGTTTTTCTTTCCTTCTGTTTTACTTACTTGTGTGAGTTAATCAATTCAGGTACAACATGACAAACTATGATCCTATCGGAAATGCTATCCTGAGGGAGGAGGTAGATGATAATGGTGAAAATGAGGTACCTCTAGTACCTCAAGCTCAAAGAAGAGGCCGTCTGGCCAATGATAACATTCCAGACCCTTTTCAAGCTCCTCTACGAGTGGCCCCTCAGGTGCTTCCAAATGAAGGGTACGCAAGTGCAATTGTCCCACCTCGGATCCGGGCGGGCAATTTCCAAATTACAAATGTGATGTTAACTTTATTGGAGCAACGAGGGTACTTCATAGGTGCTCCCCATCAGAATGCATATAAATATCTAAAGGGCTTTGTGGATACCTGTTGGGGAAGCAAACAGACAAATGTGTCGGATGATGCATTGAGATTAAGATTGTTCCCTTTTTCACTTAGAGGGAAAGCTTTGGATTGGCTCGAAAGACTTCCCAACCATTCCATCACTATGTGGGATGAGTTGGCGGACAAGTTTATAGCTAAGTTTTTCTCGCCTGGGCATACGACGACATTGAGAGATGAGATCTTGGCCTTCAAACAGGAACCTAATGAACCACTTCATGAGATATGGGAGAGATATCGGAAAATGGTGAAAGAATGTCCAAACAATGACATGACCGAAGCAATGATCCAACAAACATTCTACCGTGGTATTAACACGACCAATCAGTGTGCAGTGAACCAGCTAGTAGGGGAAATTTTACGAATACACCTTATGCTGAGGCGTGTGAGATATTGGATGAGATGGCACTACAAGAAAGTTCGGAATTCGCAACAAATTTTTTCATTGCCATATATTAAATATTGTTGCGAAAACTTTTGGCAACAACATGAAAGTTATTGCATGTCGTTGCAACAAATGTTGATGGGAAAAGTTTTTGCAACAACAAAAGATGTTGTTGCCAAAGGCTGACTTAACGCAACAAGAAATACTGTTGCCATAAATTGTATTTTGGTTACATACTTGTGGCTTATAACAATATTTAGCAACAAAAGTAATTGTTGCGATAAATTATTATTATTTTCGCAATAATATTACTTGTGGCAAAAAATTGGCGAGAGGGTAGTTAATGTGCCACAGGGTGATCCCACTGTCATTCACCTATCATTCACCTGCACAAAGAGCTCCATGACCATGGCCAGGCAATATTAGAGTTAACTACAACAATGAACCAGTTGGCAAAAGCCCAATTGCAGCAAGTTCAAGCGCTGAGACAAGTAAATGCTATGGAAGGTGTAAACATATTGGTCAACAAAAGGCGAAAAAGAGGTCAACAAGGTCAAGGAAGTCCGGATATATATGATAAGGATAGCAGTGGTTTCAACTAAGATGATGGGTATGATGAACAAAGTGAAGAAGTTCAGTATGTGAACAACTACCAAGGACAAAGGGGCAATGCTCCTAACCGACAACAACAGTGGAGATCCCAAGGAAACTGGGGGAATCAAAACCAACAGGGAAATAGCAATTGGGGGAACAACAATCAGAATTGGGGCAGCCAGGGCAACTGGAGTGGCAACAACAACAATTGGGGAGGAAACAACAACCAAGGGGGTTGGAATAATGGCAATCAAGGGAATTGGAGGCAAGGCTTTCAAAGACCTCCGATGTATCAACAA